TCATTATAACAGGTAATGAGTAAAGAAAATAAATGGGTTGATAAATTAGAAGATATAGATTCAAAGTATCAGAAAAATAGGCTAAGTCTCTTTGGCCACCTGTAGATGCAGGTAAACTTAACCTAGAAAGATGGTAGGTTCTCACTATTATCAGATGTTATTTCATCAGCAATACATTAGCAATATTTTATTATCTTTCTTTAGCATGCGGATATATCCTCATTTTCAAGATACTGGTGTTAGTTCTATATAGGCGGTTCAGCATCGAATAAGAACGCTTGTGATACAGAAGATGCATCAGTCGTTGAAGCTAATGAAAATGACATTCAAAATTTTTATGAAGAAACTGACATGTCAAATGATCCGGACGCAACAATAGTTGATCTATCAATTAATGTAGTTGTAGATAATTTACATGTAATCCCTATAAAGAGACATAATGTTGATTCTTCTAAACATGAATCAAATAAATGCCCAAAGGTTGAAAAGCTTGAAACAAAAATATAACCTGATGAAGATGATAATCAGATGGGATCTAAATGTATTGACCTTTTTGCAAATGTTTTGAAATCAGATAGGAGTCAATAATAATACTGTACAACTGGTGCTAACTAAATCTTGTATTATCAGTTATGTGTATGTTCATTCAAATTGAGATTATTTCGTATATTCCATCCATTTATAATTACATGCCTGGCACCATATTTTGTTTGTGATATCTTCGTTGCTATATATATATTTTCTGTAATTAGAATTTTTTACATGTCATCTTCACTTAGATTTAAACATAAATAATTTTTATACACACTGTTTAATTAACGAGAATAGTAAAGATTCAAAGATTCAAAATTCTTAGATTAATAAACATTCTTATATTAATAAATATTCTTATATTCGAAGACTGCACTATCGTGAATAAAAATAAATAGTAAATTTTCTATCTATTTCTTGAATATTTTGAAAATCATCATAAGAAATCCAAGATAACTGATATTTATTTTCCATCAATATTTTTTTCAAATCATCATCAATTTCTATATTCATGAATGACTATTATTGGATTGAAGTGGCCAATAACAGAATTATTTGCAAAATAATTTAATAAACGTCCTTTATACTCACATGCTGAATTAATACGAATAAAATAAAAGTTAGATAATAGATATTTCATGAAATTTTAAATGCTTTGATTAATAATAAGTGCTATGTATTATGCATTATCATCATGATATCACAATGAGATTTTAGGGCATATGATCTGTAACAATTTATACTTTTTTTTTTAAAGTATGTCTCATTTTTATATAAAAATGATTGGTAAAAATGTAAAAGATACTTGCAATTTTAACAAAAAAAAAATATATATATATATAATATAATATATGGGCTTGGTGCTGCAAAAAGGTGGTAAATTGAATTTCTTGTATAAATTAATTTAGAATAAAATTAGAATCGTTTTTTTACTTAATGTTAAACACAAAAGTAGTATATAGTTGTAAATTGTAATACAGGCAAATTTGTCTGCGAAGATTTTTACTAATTTTTTTAATATTTAAATTTTTTAATAAAATTT